CTGAAGCCTCTATTAATCCGGAACGAATGGGAAAGAGGAGCGTTGCTTTCCCCACTCCTGCTTTCAGGGTGTTTCTAACGCCAGTGTCGGTCGCGACTGCAGCTTTAGTGCATTTTCTCTTTGCTGGTGGGTCTCTGTCCAGCTAATGAGCTTCAGTGTAATTTTTTCCTGTCCTCTCCGTGAACCCATGAGAAGCTCTCTTGTGTCTTTTGTTTCTTATGCACATACTCTCCAGCTTCTGTCACGTTTTGTCACTGTTTGGTTCAAGAAAAACACTGAGTTCCTTTTTTGGAGAATTTGTGGTCTGCAAAGAGTTGTCAGCATATTGTGGAGCTGCACCTAATGTGTCTGTCTTCTAAGTACACCCTAAATGTTCAAAGTCGGGGTGTCTCACACTTACCTTTTGGCGGGCTGAGCCTATAAAGCTGTGATCCTTTCAGCATCAATAGAAGTATTTTTTTCTAGCTACTCTAGTCTCCCAAGCGGGTAAATTGTGATGCTTTCTCTCAAACCTGGTGGATATTGACTCCCCTTTAGCATTTGTTATTCACTTTGGTGTAGGAGCTTTCCTGGCCCAGCAGTTGATGCAGCCAGTTCCCTTTGGTTCCAGCCGTGGACAGGAGGTCATGTTGCTTGTTGGCAGGAGAGCCAAGTATGACTTAACTTCAAATGTCATTCCTAATGCCGGGCTCCCTTGGCATGTAGCATCAGGGCTGTGCTGGCGTGAAAACTACTGTGGGAGGGACTGAGTTGGGAGAAGGTGCTGAAACTGGCCCAGGTACGCACCCTCCGTGGGATGTCCTGGTCTTTTCTAGGAGTCTCCTTTGGGAGCTTGCCTGCTCCTTGGTGTCTGGCAGTATGAGGCCTCTCTCCTGCAGCTTTCAGCCATGTGAAGGTGTACACGAGGCTTCAAGGGTGGGATGGCCGACCGCCCTTCCTCTGCCTTACTCGCACCTCGTTAGCATCCCTGACCAGCGATAACTGGCAGTGTGTGTGGTGGTGTCTGCTCAGCCCTGGCTTATTTCACACGTTAGAAGACTGGCACTTAGGCTGCCTTTCAAGTGGTGTTGATGCCATCCACAATTATTCTTACGGAGAGAGTGCACTTGAAATTACAGTAAGTCAGTCCACAGTATGATTTGAGCTGAAGGAAGTTACACCCTTCCTGCTCGTGGGGTAAATTGTAACAGCTACAACCTTGCTGGATTTCAGAAAACTCTTCTGGGAGATAATTTGGGGCCCACCTACCCAACAAGCTTCCTGTGCAAAGCAGGTCTGTGTTAATGTATTTGTCAGCCATGTAAACTGGAGCCTTGCTTGCATAGCTCGAACTCGGGTTTAAGCCGTCCCATCAGTGTATAATGGTTTGTAGGTACTTCTGGGGTTACTCTTTTAGGGAAACACCTAGTAATGTTAAAATTAAGTCTTTTTAACCCTGGAAAACGTGGATTCCTGGTCTGGACATCTCCTTTTAATAATTAGTTGTCCTGTCCCTATGATTCTGTCAGTGCTTATGGAGGCACGGAGCTGAGTGCTAATTAAATTGAGCTGATTGCTTCCAAGATTTTGTTTTGATCATGCATACAATTATAGCCAAATCAGAAATAGGTACATTTAGATTAAATGTAATTATTTAGCATTTCTTTTTAGCTCAGGCTAGGCTAAGAAGAGGAAGAAAATATTTCTTCTTGATGCTGCATTGAAATGGAAAGAGAGCAGTAGCTCCAGGACAGCTGGTACGTTGAAATTAAGAGTCTGACTGAACTTCAGAATCAGATGCTTGATATTATTACATGGAGACATTGATTAATGGAAATCTGAAATGTCTTCAGTAATTGGCGAATTAAATGTCAGTTCTTAAAAGAAAAGAAGGTCTTCATCTTGTGAAGCTCCTTAGTGTCATAGTTATTTTAACATACTAAGTACCAGGATAAAGGATTAAAATGTCTTGCAATGCTGGATGGTTTTGAGTCTAGGCATACACCAGAAAATTTACAAGAAAACAACACTGAGTACAAAAACGAATCCTCAGTGATGAAGGATCGCAATTGTTCTGTGAAAAACACAGGAAGCCCAACATCCCACGAGCACATGGGACTTAACAAGCAATCCTGCAGAAGAGAGACCCAACGACCAAATGTTTATCCTCTCAAATGTGAAGTTTCCCACGGTTAAGACATGGTATTTTTAAATCTTCGAGCAAGAATTGTATATGCATTAATATAATTTCGTGTTGAGTTTCTTGTAACACTTGGAAACTGCTAGTTGGCTGGGTGGTTAGGTTTATGACGATAAAAGCTTTCAATAAAGGAATTAAAATATTGGCAAGTGGCCTTGAATGCCTGTTGAAACACGCCTGAGCAAAAACGTCGGGTGGCTTAATACATTTGATGCATTACCGGTTAAGAGCCCTGGTGTCCTGGAACATGCTGGTTCTGGGAGTGTGAGAAGATGGGATCCCAGACTAGGTGTAGCTTGGCTCAGCTCTTGCAAAATAGTGAGGTTTGAATATTCTTACTGTTTCTGCAGCCCTCTTTGGGTCCTAGTTTCCATGTCTCCCTGCATCCACGTTACCCACACTTCACGAAATTTTCTTTGTGTCAGCTTGATGAAAATTGAGGTGTTTGAACATGTGCTATAGGCCAAGTACTGTCCAGACCATTAACGCCATATGGTAATGGGCTAAATGTGTGTCGGTGGCACTTGAACTAATTCATTTCAGGCACTGTGTTGTATGCACTGGTTTCATGGTCTTTTTTGAGAGCAAACTGGTATGTTACAGAAGAGCTCAGCTCATAGCTGGGTGCTGCCAAGAGTCTGAGGTCCTGGCACAACTGCTTCCCCCTCTGTTGCGTGGGGCTGTGCCAGCCTCGTTGTGCATCAGAGGCATGGCAGAAGCGGCTCGGCTCGCTACACCAGCAGAAGATCACCACTGGTTAGCCAGGCTGGCTTTCACCGGGCTAGCCCGTTGAGTCGTTTCCAGGAAGGCTCAGGAATGGGCAGCCAGGGCACGGAAAGGACTGGTGTGGGTCAGCCTGAGCTGTGCCCAGCGGCAGCCCCTGCGTCTTCCTTACATGGTGTACGTGTGTTTGTGTTTAAGATTGTTTTTTCTCTCTGCGTTCTAAACACACTTTGTGTATTTAATGAGATCCTTCGGGAAAGAGCACTAAGCATAGAGACATGGCTGCATTACCCACTCTGGAACTGTGTTTTGTCTGAAAGGCCAACTTAGCAGGAAAGATTATTTTTCAAGAGGGCTGCTGGAATTAATGTCACTCATCAATTGCACGTACTTAAAACAATCTGACAGTTTGGAAAACTGTTAAAAGGCATTCTAGATCTATTTTTTATCAATAATATTTGAACTGGGTTTGAGTTTCCTAGTGCTGTTATTTAATGCTGATTTCTGCTTCTTAAGCAGCAGTGTGCTTGGAGTTCTGACTTTATAGAAGGGCCTGGCTGCATACGATAGGGGAGGGCTGGACTGTGGAGCATCTTCAAGAGAGAGCAGTGCTTGCCCAGAGGTGAGGCTAGACACAGCGTCCAGAGTCAGAGGAGCTAGTGATGTCTGGGAGCACTCTATATTATCTTTTCTAGGAGACTACTGTTTTTCCTCCAGCCACTAACAGGCCTGTTTGGCTGCCATGGACATTGTGGAGACTTTCATGTTTTGAATCTGTGTTCTAGAGTCTGGTAGACTCTACTTATTTTGAGTGATAGAATATAGCTGAGAGCCCCATGGAAAGATCATAGAATCATAGAATGGTTAGGGCTGGAAGGGACCTTCAAAGGTCATCTAGTCCAACCCCCCTGCAAGGAACAGGGATATCTCCAACTAGATCAGGTTGCTCAGGGCCTTGTCCAACCTGGCCTTGAACGTCTCCAGGGATGGAGCATCCACCACCTCTCTGGGCAACCTGTTCCAGTGTTCTACCACTCTCATAGTAAAAAATTTTTTCCTAATATCCAACCTGAACCTACCTCCCTCTATTTTAAAACCATTACCCCTTGTCCTATCATAACTGGCCCTCCTGAACAGCCTCTCCCCATCTTTCCTGTAGGCCCCCTTGAGGTACTGGAAGACCGCTATAAGGTCACCCCGGAGCCTCCTCTTCTCCAGGCTGAACAGCCCCAACTCTTTCAGCCTGTCCTCATAGGAAAGGTGCTCCAGCCCTCTTATCATCTTCGTGGCCCTCCTCTGGACCCTCTCCAACTGGTCCATGTCCTTCTTATGTTGGGGACTCCAGAACTGGACGCAGTACTCCAAGTGAGGTCTCACGAGGGCAGAGTAGAGGGGGAGAATCACCTCCCTTGACCTGCTGGCCACGCTCCTCTTGATGCAGCCCAGGACGCGGTTGGCCTTCTGGGCCGCAAGAGCACATTACCGGCTCCTTCTAACACACTTCTTTGTTAGATAATCCTTCTAACAAAGGGCTCCTGCTCTTCAGAACTTAAATATCAAAGGAGAAAAGACCAAGATCATGACGGTCAGGCTGCTTTCATGTTACAGATACCTACTTGAGAAGCCTGCATGTGGTATTTGTTCTATGTATGGAACATAAAACATTTCCTAACGCCTAGCAAAGTTTATAATCTACAGTGAAAGATCACAAGCTGTCTCTACAATATAACACAGGAAAGAAGAGATGTTTCACTTTACGAGTCCAGGTTTGTTGATCGCAAAGTTCAGCTGTTTTGTTGGGATGAGCGGAAGGTGGCGAGGTGATTGTGTCGTTAATAGCTGTTGTGCATACTGGTGGTTTGCTCTACAACGGAACAGCACGTATGGAAACGTTGGCCTTTGTGTGAAAGCTCAGACCTAAATTTGGACCTAATGAAAAGGGTGCAGACTGACATGAAGAGAAATTTAAATACAGACTATTATTTTGTCTGAATCAGATGATCTTCTGGAAACAGGATTTGAATTTAAAATAATCTATAGTCAAATAGTTTGCGACATAGGTAATTGCATCTCTCTCTTCTTTCCTTTTCAGGTGGCTATGGTAGAAGTTCAGCTAGACGCAGAACACGACTACCCTCAAGGCCTCTTGATAGCCTTCAGTGCCTGTACTACTGTCCTTGTTGCAGTTCACCTTTTTGCACTCATGATAAGTACCTGCATTCTTCCAAATATAGAGGCTGTTAGCAATGTGCATAATCTCAACTCTGTGAAGGAATCTCCTCACGAGCGTATGCATCGGCACATTGAGCTTGCTTGGGCCTTTTCTACTGTCATTGGGACTTTGCTCTTTCTTGCAGAAGTGGTGCTACTGTGTTGGGTGAAGTTTCTTCCTTTAAAGAAGAAAACTGATAATCCGCTTCAGAGCAACAGTTCTACCATCACATCAGGACAGGCAGCAGCCATTGCATCAACGTCTATTATGGTTCCCTTTGGATTGATTTTCATTGTGTTTGCAGTCCACTTCTACAGGTCACTGGTGAGCCATAAAACAGACAGGCAATTTCAAGAATTGAATGAACTCGCTGAATTTGCACGGCTCCAGGATCAGCTGGATCACAGAGGTGATACCATCTCCTCAGCTGTTACCCATTTTGCATAAACCTGTACTTACAGAAAATAAACCCACTATTCTGCTTCTGCCTTGTTATGTTGACTCCCCAGTGGATGAACTGGTCAAACTGTTGATTACCGTTTAAAGAGAGATCATAAATGTTGTTTCAACCCTTTAGAGAGAAAAAAAAACTTTGTTCCTTTCATAAAATGTTGGCTCTCTGACATCTGAAGGAATAGATGGCGGGGTGTGCTTGCACTGCACGTGCATCCCTCCTCTTTTGAGTGCCGTTTAGATTGTTTCTTGTTAATGCTGAATGGTGGCTGTATAAATACATGGAAAATAACACTGTAAATTTGGGTATTTTTTAGGGATGGATAGAGAAGTATTTTTCCTCTCTTATTTGATGTTGGCATTTACTAGAAGCTACTGCTTGTCCAATCCATATTGCATGGCAGGATAGAAATTACTTGGGATATGCAGCAATTAGCACTCGGTTTCAGTGCTAGCGCTGTTCTCTCTAGAAGGTCTGGCAGATGGTAGAAGTGAAAGCTTTCCCACCACTTTCCCCAGTATGTTTTGCTGCCAAGTAATTATTACTTTACGGATTTCTCCAGCACCTTTTTCCCTGTGGCAGTTACCCATTTTCTAACTCACTAAACACCCATGACTAGTCTTACCGCGATGTGGTATGGCCACATGAGTAGGAATGAGACTGTACTCTACTCTTCCTTGGAAGAAAATAAAAGCAATAACGGTTTTAAAGTTCTCACGTGCTGGAACTTACTATCTGGAGAGATAGATTTGCCTGTTTCCCATTGAGGAATGTTTTTTTTAAAAAGAAGGAACTAGGTGGAAATTAACACTGGATAATTTTTTCACTTGAAAGTCAGAACCACTGCTGTGTTTTTCCAAGCCAAAATAGTAATTATTTTATACTTTTATATAAAAATATATTTTTAATAAATCCTCAGATACAAGCAGCAAAAGGTGCTTTCTCTGCATTGGCTTCCCAAGTAATTAGCTATGCCTTGGTCTTCCTTGTTTAGAAAAAGTCTTCTCCTTGCTGAAGTGTTGTATTTAATAACTTGTTATGCATTTTTTGCTTCCAAACAATCTGGAAGACTACTTTTCTCTAGGTAGATTTATTTATGAAAGGAGGTTATTTGTAATTAATATTGCTGCTTACTTTTGGACACACGTTTGACAATGAAGCTACTGTGTCATGTTTTTTTTTATTTCCTCTGTAAGCAAAAACTTTGGTCTCTCAGATAAGAGGTTTGTCCAAGAAGGATTGCAGCAGTTGTCCTGGGCTGCTTCAGTAATTCTAGCTGTGTCTAGAAGTGTGGGTTTTTTTGGAATGCAGTTCTTCTATAGAGCAGCTTTGGCTTTTAATGGGTAAAAGATAAAGATGTTTTTTGAACACAAACAGAAACAGGTTTCAGGTTTAACGGAACAAAACTTGACCTCCCTACTGTAGCTAATGCTGTGGAATAGAAACCTGGGATTTTGAAGTTAGGAGTGAACGTGGCAGTACAGTGGAGCTGTACCTGACTGAGCCTGGGCTGAACGTGGTCTCTCACACCCAACCTCCATCTCAGCTTATCCCGAGGTATTTACAAACCGTAGGATGTGTCTACAGAGTGAGGCTGGCAGAGGCTGTTCACTGCTGAAGGAGCCTGGTGAAGCGAAGGGGCGTGATGGCTCATGTCAGCACCACTGCAGTGGAAAGTGTTGACAAGGTCACCTGTGGTGCGTTTGCATTCTGAAAAATAACCATTAAAAACGACTGCTGGGCCCGTTTTCTTGGTGATATTCTTGCAGGGTTGTTTTGGTTCACAAGCAGAAAACAGCTTTGCCATTCCCACAAGTCCTTCTGGCATACAGATGCCAAATCGGGTTTTCTGTAGCTCTGCCGTTACGTTACGCTTCATGTTCCGTTACTGGTGTAAGTCTGCTAATGGTGGGAATTGTGACTACAGTCCCACAGGTGTCTGTCCATGGAGCACTGGAAGGACTATGTTAGTAAAGGCATTAATGAAGCAGCATTCCAAAACACATCTTAGTAGTAGGCACAAAGTGTATTTCCCCATCCTTTACCAGAAAACCAGTCCTGTCTTGGGAAAATGGCTCTTAAAAACCCTCAGTAAAGGCAGAAAACCTGACTCAGTGGTCACACTAGAGCAAATGGTTGAAAGGTGCTGTTGGGCTTCTGTCCCTAAATTGTGTGTTTCAAAGTTACAATGTTATTTTGAATGGAAGTTCTGAAAGAAGTTTCTCAAGTTAATTTGGTAAAATTACTTGCTGTCCTGGATAAGTAGCTGAATTGCTTTTTATTTTGTGGCTCTTTTCCAAAGTGACAGAGAAGCGTGGGGTTTTATGTTTTGTTTAAGAAATACAGAATTAGAAGCTAGTGGGACAACCTTATTTTTATCTTTCTCAAGCTGGCAGGTTCTGAGCTAATGGCGCTGTTATTACAGCTGCTTTTCTGACTCTTTTCTGCACTTTAAACCATGCTATCGAGTATGTTTCTCACTTTCCAGCTGTGGAAACAGTTGTGAAGTTACACCTTGGGCACAGTCTCATAACTCTGTGCCAGAGGCAGTAACCAGACCCAAACACATGGATCTGAACAAGAGTGCACTTAGAATTTGGGGGTTTTATCCCTTATTTATACTAATGGTATTATGCATTTACCTCAAGCATTTTAAACATCGGTTATTGTGTATCACTTATTTAGATATAAAATACTTTAACGAAATAAAATATACTCAATTGTTGCTGATTATTTGTTATCTAGAGGCCTAAAATGCACTTATTTTCTTTACATCCCTTATCTCTTCAGCTATATTGTGCTAATCCTGACTGTATTTCCGAGGATCTCTTAAATATATTCAGTTACTCATTTCAGTCATATAACAAAGATAAAATTTCCTGTTCACAGGGGCAGGTAGGAAGAATATAATGTAGTTGGCAGGCTTTTCCTCCGGGAAATCTTGGGACTAAGCGTGTCGTCTTGTTACTCTCTGCGAGTGCTTAAATGGAAAAGTAGGTTATCCTTCAGCCTAGAAAGGAGGGACCAAATGAACTGGAAATAAGAGGTGATACTGGGAAGCACAGTATAAATCCGGTGAGCTAATGACTCACTCTTCCATGGCTTGTTTTGCGCCGGCCGCTTTCCTTCGGTCTCGCGGGTGAGGCTCAGCACCTCGCAGGTCAGACGCGCCGTGGCTCTGCGTGGTCCTTGCGTCGGGTGGAAACGGAGCAGCCGGTGCAGCGCCTTTGGGTGCTGGGGGGTCCAGTGTGTGGGCTGGCCAAGGAGCAGAGCTACAGGTTAGGGAGGTGAACCGGCCTCAGGTTATGGAAAATGCACAGGGAGAGTAAGTAAAGTTGTTTGGGGATGTTCAGCCTGCAGAAGGCTCTGGGGTGATCCTATAGCAGTCTTCCAGTACATGAAGGGGGCCTACAGGAAAGCTGGAGAGGGACTTTTTACAAGCATATATGGTGATAAGACAAGGGGCAATGGCTTTAAACTGAAAGACGGGAGATTTTGATTAGATATAAGGAAGAAACTTTTTACAGAGAGTGATGAAGCACTGGACCAGGTTGCCCAGAGAAGTTGTGGCTGCCCCATCCCTGGAAGTGTTCAAGGCCAGGCTGGATGGGGCTTTGAGCAACCTGGTGTAGTGGAGGGTGTCCCTGCCCATGGCAGGGGGTTGGACCTAGAGGATGTTTGAGGTGCCTTCCAACCCGAACCATTCTATGATTAATAAAAATATTAATTGAAACATGATCTGTTATAACTTCGAAAGCCATCTTGGTTCACGGGTATGTATCAGGCTAAGTTTGGGGGGAGTGGGAGGGGAGAATTAGTTGACTGTACTTTTCTAGGGCTTTTATAGCATATAACGGAAACCCTGCTGCTTCTCTAAGGCGATGTGAAAGACCTTGAAATCAAGAGGAGTGTGATTCTTTACAGGAGGAATAAGCCAGAGGAGCTGGGCAAAGAGTCACTGTGCCTGTCTTCCAGCATTTTGCTGCTTGTGGTTTTTCTTTTTTTTTTTCTTCTTTTTTTCCTTCCTTTTCCAAGATAACGGGGGGTGGGAGGAGGCCTCTGAGCAAAGCCATCTGGAGAGTGAAGCATACATGGGCAGCCTTGAGGGGAAAGTGAGGCAGACCACGACGCGATACACCACAGTGTGTGGATTTGAGGCTCAAATGAGTAAGTAACCCAGATCCAGTTCTGTTCTTGCATCTTTTTTTTTTCTTCAGCATCCGGTTATTAATTTTGGCTGTCATCAAACATCGCCTGGGCCTCTGCTAAAACACCATCTGGATCAGCTAGTTCGATCTAAATAAAAAGAATACAGATCAGTTGTGTGGTGTAATTGAAGAGCTTAAGGTTTTATGGGTATTGATTACTCGAGCATTAATAGAGAATCTCCCGTGTATCAGGGCTGTAGTTGATACTGCAGCCTTTCAGTTACTGTTTTCGAAACATTGCTACGCTTCCCTAATTTTATCAGCATGTTGAACGTCACTCCATGTCCTTGAAATAGCTCTGTGTGGAGTGCACTGATTCTCCTTTAACAAAACATGTTCCAAGATGAAACTGGCTTTGATTTGTGGTCTGTTGGGTGTCACCTCTAGTGTTAAAAGGTAACTGCAGTCACCCGAGTGAGCATCAAAGGTCACATGAAAACAGGAGTCTGGAGTCGTGTAACCTGCATGTAACTGGATGCAGATTCTTGAGAGGGAAGTGCCAGAGCCCTGCCAGGAACTTGTCATCTCCCTCGGACCTGCTTTATGTCCTCGTGTTTTCGGGGGGGTTCACGTCTTGTGTGGTGGTCTCCCAGGCAGAAGACATCCAGTCTTTTCCTCATTTATTTTGTTTGAAGCCTCAGCTTCCTTAATTACAACAGCAAATATCCCAAGTCCACCATGTTGTGTCTTTCCCCATCTCCACAGTTACTGTTCAAACTCTGCCTTGATGCAACCCCATCATCTACGTTCTGGATTCCTTTAAAGCTTTTGACAATCACTCTAGTTTTCAGCCATTTTCTGTCCTGTGCATTCCCACCATTTTGTCC